TGGGAAAGCAGTAGAAGATGGCCCAAGTCCTTGGGCCCCTGCACCCATGTGGAAGTCCCGGAAGAAGCTCCTGACTCCTGGCTTCAGATCAGCTTAGCTCCAGCCATTTGAGGAGTGAAACAGAGGATGGAAGACCTTTCTGTCTCTCTCTCTCCCTGTAACTCTGACTCTCAAATAAATTTTAAAAATTAAGCCCTTTACTCACAAATAAACCTATTAAAAATAGCTGAACTAACTGTACCCTGCAAATATAAACCTTTTATTTTGCTAGATGACAATGCTCTACTAAAATCATGCCTTAAATATCATCTCTTAAATACTGTCTCTTTGATTTTAGGTATTTTTTTCCAACAAAATCTTCATGGAACCAAACTATCCTACTCCAGTAAGAAAATATAAGAGGCAACCTATTTGTAGACCCCAATTCTTCTTTCTAACCCTTGTCTCTGGCAGAGCAGGTGTCCACAGTTTTAATCTGAATCACACCATCATTTAACAGGGTAGCTAAGGCACACTTATATGAAGGGGCCTGCAACAAGTTCACGGAAATCCTTGTTTTAGAAAATTATGTATGGATTTCAATTTGGGGGAGTGCCAAAATAAACCTATTTTTTAATTCCATTTTTACACAAAATTTTTGAAGTACTCTCACAGAGTTTAGTATCTAGTACTGATTACATGAGAAAAGACAGTTCTGTATACAAGTTGTTTTCAAATAGTTTTAAAATATATATTCATTTCAAGGTGCATTAAAGGAACATCCTTCAGGAATGAACTTTGCCGGATTCTCCACTTTTCCCTGGCAGTCACTCACTGCTCTCCTCCTCTTCCCCTGCTCCCTCCATCTGCCTCTTTCTCTCTCCTCTCCTTTCACCTTCCTTGCCCTCCATTCTCTGTGCACTGCCATAGAGGGTCTCACTCCGGACTTGTGGTCAGGCAAAGATATTAGACAGTAAATCCATAAGAAAACGCCCCCGGGACAGACTTCGCCTCTGACCCAATGGAGACACTTGTTCTTTGAAGTCTTGGGGGCAGGAGATCATTCTTGGGCTGAACGAGCCAAGTCAGAATGTTCTGTGTCAGCCTCATGACAGATGATACTCCTCACACAGCTCGGCATTTTGAGAGCAATTCATTTCTCACCCTGTCGCCACAAAAGGTGCCAGAAGGTGCCAGGTCTACTCCGGGGTCTACATAAAAGCAATTGTTTTCTCAATAGAATCTTCTTTGCTGATTATCCCAAAATTCCTTAGCTTCTGGGAGCATAAGTGATAACAGCCTAAATGATTCATTTGACTCAAAACACAATTGAAAAAATGCAAGAAACAAAACCACTGACTGGAATATTTCTATGGGGAAAAAAATCTCTTTATTCTGAGGGACATATTTCTGCCTGCCAAAACATGACATTCTGCCTGCTTCAAAGTTTCATGGGATAATAATTGGTTAGCTTCAGAGACGACTCACAGGAATCAGAGAATTGGGAGGGTGGAAACAACCTTAGGTTACCAAAGTCATTTGCTTCACTGCATAAATGAGAAAATAAGCAAAGAGAAATTAGGAGGCTACTCCAGAAGAAGTGAGTTTTGACTCACACTTGAGTGTCATGATTCCCAATCAGTACCTTCTACATCTCCCTCCTGGGACCACATGGAGAAAAGGCATTAAAGTTACCTTTTAAAACAATAACTCAAGAATTTTCACTTCTAAACAGGGATTCAGCAAAACTTTAATTCCACGCTAATGAATATCATAACAAAACACATTTTTGAAAAAGTGAGATCACAAAAAGCATTTATTATCATGCCTGAGAATGGTTAACTGTGCCTACACAAGCGCGGTTATATCAACAAAACTCACTATATCAACAAAACTCATCAGACGGCAATGTTCCATTTTTAAATGATATTTTATTTTTGTCAAGTCAATAATATAATAATGGTATATGTTAATTTTCATTCTAGAAAAAACTATCCAGTTGCTCTTTAAAAAAAAATAGCAGACATTTTATTCTGTCAATCAAGTAGTACCTACAGAGGCTCGTTAAGTCCCTACCCAGAGTTAAGTTCAGTATTCAGGCAATGTTAAAAATCGCCAGGCTCTAGGCTACCCAATGTCTCAGCCAGAAGTCACTAACCTTAGGCTGCTCTATTTTTCACCAGCCATGCTGAGCTTCCATATTGCTGTCCATATGCTGCCATTAAGTGGCATATTCTGGCCACCAGTTCCTCCACTGTCACTCCAACCACAGGAGTGAAAATAAAAAGACAGGGCTGTTCAATTGGGCAAAGCCAAGTCAGTCCATTTAGTGTTGTTTGTCTTCATAGAGAGAAATACATAAAACCGAGAAAGTACAACTTTACATTCAGCATTTTAACCTCAACAAGGGCTTCGTCAACCTGGTATACTGAACAATAAGGACCTTTAATTATCAGTTATTTCCTAGATACGGTTCTCAACTTTAAAATACGTCAATGGCGATAGAAGCATAGAAGGAACGGAATCTGGAAGGAATTACTGTATGACAAAAGCATGTCATCTTATGGTAGGCTTCTTTAAATCATGGTACACATCATAGCATACTGCAAAAGAAACGGAATAGAAAACAGGTTAAAAGGGTACTGAGCATGATGATTAATGAGAATTGTATCAGTAATAATAGTATAGTGGGTTTGGTTAAACTGATTCAGGTCCTTGGTGGACGCTACTTGAGATGGTTGTCCTAGGCTGGATTCCAGAATGTGTCACCAGGTTTGAGAAGAGGAGCAGATGCAGAACTACTAATTCTATTACCACTATTCCCCAGCATTTTCAGAGGATATAGAGATTCTGTCTAAAATGGTGAAAGACTGTCAGCACTACAAGAAAAACTGAGTAGGCACCCTTCCAAAAGTCAGCAGCTTCCTGTGGTACATGCGCCACACTGGGTTTTGGCTGTGAAAATTGATCATAAACGGTCACATTCCATACAGTGCACCAAGTCATTTCTACTTGAATCAATGGCATGAAGGAAACCAACCGATCCTTTACATTATCACTGTGAGGACATCTGCAGCGACTGATAGTAGAAGCAGATGACCCCTTTGTGTAAAACTGCACGTCAAGTGATGGAACCAGGCAAAGGAAGAGGCAAAATGAACATCTATGTTCCAACTACTAGTGTTCAACTTTTTAAAGGCAGAGAGGGTCTAAGTACAAAGCCATCTGCATTCTCCAATAAGTTTTTCTTTTTTTTTTCCCCCCAACCTAATAAATAGCCTAGAATCGGCACAGAGAAGAAATGTGTCAGGAAAATGCAGCTTCTTCAGGCATATCATTGGCTGGCATGTTTTTGTTCTCCAAAATATAGACTGAACACTCCTTTCAAATGCATTAGGTCTCTAAAAATCCAGCCCGAGTTGATCATCCAAAATCTATCAGTCATTCAGCAGTCGTGTGCGGAGCGCCTACACAGTGCTCTTCTTCAGAATGCGTTTGTTTTTGGAGAGACCGAAAGGTTAGATAGTTCACATTTTCTGTACGCAAATATTTGCTCTAGGAGCAACACGAAACCTGCAAACACACCCACTTTTTCACAGTCGTCTTGACACTAGATAGGATCAAAGACCTATCTGCCTGAGATTCCAATCACTTTAAAACAGAAGGTCTATAAAACTGTTCCTTTGTGCCTGTCCATTTATGCATGGGAACAGCTGACAGTTCTCAAGCAACAGTATTACCCATTGAAAAACACACCTTCCTTAAACAAAAGGCACTTTTTGTTCCCATGAAGCTTTGTTGTCATTTCCAGCATTAAAAAAAAAAAAAAAAAAAAAGATACCAAAGATACATTCTGTTATCCTCAATAGTGGTTTTGGGCAAAAAGAATCAGCGCAGAAGATAACAGACCAAAAGCTTAAGAAACAAAACCGATGTGAATTGGGGTGGGGGTGGGGAAGAGGTGGAACGAAAGTGAGAGAAGGAGTGTAAACTTTGCTGTGTAAGACAGCCAGCTTTATTGATGAATTGGGTATGGGAGAAAGGAGGAGAAGGCGATACTGTTTTCAGTTGCATGCTGCGGTCTCGGTTTTCTTTCAATAACACTCAGAGAAGGCAGGACAGGGGACATCTAGTTCAGCGATTAGGGGTGATTCAATGAAACACAAGTTTGTGGGTGACACAGTGGAGATATCTAACCAAATCGAGAATTATACAATTATGTGACAATTCTTTAATTTTTTTAGTTCTTAAAAAAAAGTTTATGACTAAGTTACCACTTGACTATTCACCGTTTTTGCAGGACGTGCACCCCTCCTGTTAGACACTCTCTTCGAAAGAAACCGCTGATGACCTGCAATGCTATTGTCACCCATTTCTCGGGACGATGGGCCCGGCACGCAGTGTCACGGGTGGAAGTCACAGAGCGACCAGAAGCCAAGGAGTCCCTGGGGGATTCTCCCGAAGCACGGTGCCTACAATCAGCGCGCCGGAGCCCAAGGGTGGGAAGCGTGAGCGATCTCTCCGCCTTCGGGCCGCGCGTCCTAAAGGTTCCTGGCTGTCAGGTGGGTGGCTGCGAGCCCCGGCGGGGAAGCTCGAGCCCGCAGCGCCGCGCCGCGCCGGTGCAGAGGGGCGAGCCCCGCGGAGTGCGGCGCGTCCCGCCGCCGGCCGCCGCTCACCTTTGTTCGCCTGCCCTAGGCGCCAAGAGGAGACGACCCGGGCCCAGAGGGAGTGCGGGGGTCCACGCGAACCACCCGCGGTCCCTCGGGGCGCTCCGACGGGCATCGATAGGCAAACCAGACCCTCGCCGGCTCCCAGAAAGGGAGCAGGGCAGAGGGGTAGACAACGCCTCCCCGAACATGAAGGGGGGCGGCATGAGCAACGAGGGCGCGGGGGCGTGCGCCACAGAGCACGCGAGTGTGCGTGTGCGCGCGAATGTGTGTGCGAGTGTGTGTGTGTGTGTGTGTGTGTGTGTACGCGCGCGCGCGCAGGGGGAGGGGAGGAGGTGCTCCTGCCCTTCTTACCTCTCGAAGATGAGCCGCACCATGAAGATGCAGAAAGCCAGGGGGAAGGCGAGATAGAGGTCCTCAGCCTGCGGGAAGGTGGCTTCCTCCGTGTTCTTCAGGTCCGCCCAGGTGACATTGTGCGGGAGCCAAAACCTCTCGTTCCAGAACCAGGCTAAGATCCCTGCCATCTTGCTTTGTCCACTCCTGTCCTGCGGCTCCCGCGACCGACCGAGTTCTCCGCGGCGCAGGGCGCCCAGGGATGCGCGCCCGGCTGGCCCCACGCCTGTGCTGCCGCCGCTGCCGCTGCCGCTGCCGCCGCCTCCTCTGCGGCCGCTGCTCTCGAAGGCTCGCGGCGAGCCCCGGTTCTCTCCTCCCTCTGGCCGGGCTGGGAGAGGGGCCGCCTCGCCCGTCACATGGCAGCCCAGGCCGCTCACCCTGATTGGCTCGTGCTCGCGTCAAGCAGCCAGGCACACGCGGCCAGCTCGCCCACGCCCGGGGAGCAGGGCGCAGCCGCTGCGCCTGGGCGCTGCAGCACCGCTCGGAGGAGTGCTGTCCGCTTGGCGCTCCCCGCGCTCTCGCTTTGCGCTTAGGGCAACGACGGGAACAGGCGCCCCAAGTCCGCCCCAGCCCCCCCTGGTTTGCTTGCACATGCTCAGAACTCCCGCACTGGAGTTTCAGGGCTCCCAGAAGTGGTGACCCGGCGGAGGGGGAGGCAGGTGGGGGCCGAGGCTTCACCACCAGTCCTTCTGTGAAAAAGGACAGCAAAAGGAGAAGTAGGGGGTGGAGAGGCAAAAGAGGAAGAAATGGGAGGAAAGGATCCCCCACTCCAGCGCTTGGAGAGCAGGGGGAAATCAGGAACTGGGCAGGTTGGTTTGGCAAGCGCCTCCTGCTTCTAACCCACGCCTGTCTTCCCCCCAGCTTTGACCTTCCGGCCTCATTACACTACTGTGTCTCATCAAACCAGCTCCTCAGAGACCAAGACCCTCTATTTTGCATAAAAAATTAGGCGCTTAATTGCTATTTGATGAACATGATGCTGGAGAGAGTAACTGTAGCATTCTGTCTAACTGTCCCCTCAACTAACCCCTCTGAAAATGCCGCTGGACCCCATTGTGGATAGGTGGCTCAGGACAGAGCCTCCACTCTCCTACTTGCATTCTAAACCTTAAAGCGTTAGGCCTGTGAGGCCTAGCCCAGGCGCCTTCACTCCCACAATCTATTCCCCCTCTGATACAGGAACCATGTGTGCACTAGCACAGTGGCTACTTTTATTCGTTCGGTTTTCTCACATCCATTGATTTTTCTGTTTGATTCTACCAGCAAGTCCTAGTAGACCTTTCCAATGGGCGTTTAAATCGCTCACACACACCAACCCACAAAGGCACACAGTTTCCTTACTCTTCCTACTCCCGTTACCACTCCTTTTTAAAGCACAATGGAAGAATCGCCTATACTGTTGCATTTGGTTTCTCTCCCCCTCGTTGTCTGCGAAAGAATTTGGGCATTTGCCTCCTCTGCACACTGAAAATGCTTGAGGTCACCAATGATCTGCGTGCAACTAAACACAAAGGTTCCATTCTTAGGCAGTTTAGCTTGCCAGCAACAGAAATTTATACGTCACACTTCTGCAAGCTGAGAAGTCCAAGATCAAGGTGCTGCCATATTGGATGTCTGGTGAAGACCCACTTCCTGGTTTGCAGGAGACTGTCTCCTCAATGTGTCTCTTCACATGGCAGGGAGCAAAGAGAGGACCCAAGCTTGCTTGTTTCTTCTGAAAGGAGCACTACCCCATTCATGAAGGCTCTTTCTCTTTGAGCCAATGACCAACCAACAGCTCCCTCTTCAATACCAGCACTTTGGAGGTTAGGATTTCAACACAGGAATTTGGGGAGGACACGGACCTGCCATCCACAGAAGTTCCCAGCACTTCTAGCAGGAGCATTTGGCCCAGTTGCTCAGTTCTGCCTCACAGTCCTCCCTGGGCTTCCAAAAACCACTGTCTTCTGGTTTTTCTCATCCCGCTTGATCCATGTCTGCCATCCCCCTTCTGGTTACTTCTCACCTTCCTAATCCCTAAAACCCAGAGAAGTTTAGAAGTCAGTGGTTTGTCCTTTACATCTCTCTGTATGCACTCATTCACTTGGTGATCTTACTCAGTTCTCAGGGTTTTCGATGCCATATGAGAAATATTCAAAAAATTCATGGAAAGGCATGTTCTGAAAAATCTGTACATAGGTTTAATTGTCTTTTTTGCACCAAAATAAACATTTTAATTTCAATTTTCCATGAATTCTTTGAAATGCCCTTGCATTAATAGCTCCCATATTTACATCTCTACCAAAGAACTATTTCCCTGAACTTGGGATTCCATCTCCACTGTCAAGTGAACAACTTCAAGAATGTCTAGAAGCCAGCACATGTCTAGGCTACTAGTCTTCTTCCTAGAATGTATTCCTCCTGTAGACTTGGCAAGGCCAAAATCATAGATTCATCTTTTTCCCCCTTCTCTCTTTTACTGATCTCTCTTTTCCAACCTATCACAAATGTTGTCAGCTATCTTTAAACCATTATCTCACTATCTCTCGCCACCTCTTCTGCTACCATTTTAATATCAACAACCAATATTTTTCACCTGTGTTATCTTGGTAACCTCCTAACTCCCAATTTCAACCCTCATCCTTTGACAATCTATTCTCAGCCATAGTGATCCTATTGAAATTTCACATCATTACCTAAAGCCCTGCTTCTTCTCTGTCTCTCCCCAAGTGGAATTCAAAATCATTATGATGTCCTAAGACACTTGCTTCCATATTAACTCTTTGACCTCATCTTCCCTCACCTCTCTCTTACTCTGCTTCAGTCACAGTGGCCTCTCTGCCCTTCCTGGGACACTCCAGGCATGCCTTAGGGCTTTTGCACTTGATTTTCTCTGTCCCTGGGCCTCTTCTCTCCCAAATACACACATCTGCTCTTTCTTTAATGGCCTCTCTTGATGAAGGCCTCTCTTGACATCTTCATTAAACTACAACTCTCACTCCTCACCGCCCCCCCCCTTCCTATCCTGATATATGTTCCAAAGCACAAATCACCATAACATAATATACAGGGAGCTTCAAAAAGTTCACAGAAAATGTAACTAAAGGATATGCTTATTTGGTGCAAAAGCACTTTGAAATCTATGCAGTATTTTCCTGATAACACATTTTCCATAAACTTTTTAAAGACCTTTTGTCTGTTTTACTTATTTCTTCATTGTTCTCAAATACACTCAACTTTAAGCTTCAAAAGGTTAAATATTTTATCTTTTATTTACTGTTCTATCCCTGAAACTTAAAAAAAAAGTGCTCAACATATTGTAGGTACTCTATAAAATTTTTTGTAAGATTTATTTATTTATTTGAGAGGCAGAGTAAGATACACAGAGTGGGAGAGACAGAGAAATCTTCCATCTGCTTGTTCTCTCCCCAAATGGCTACAACAGCTGGAGCTGGGCCGCCTTGAAGCCAGGAGCCAGGAGCTTCTTCTGGGTCTCCCATGCGGGTGCAGGGACCCAAGCACTTGGGCCATCCTTCACTGCTTTCCCAGGCCATAGCAGAGAACTGGGTCGGAAGAAGAGCAGCCTGGACACCAACCGGAACCCATTTGGGATGCTGGCACTGCAGGCAAAGTCTTAGCCTATTATGCCTCAGAAAAATAATCTGAATAAATGTGTTCAGAGTCTATATATCCATATTAGACTCATGAAAAATAGTATGGGCATAGAGGTACTGGTCAATTCTGGGGTAGTGAGGGGATATGTCATTTGAAGTGAATCCTCCGGGGAGAGTAATGTCACCAGCCCCCTGCAGACCTCATGAACAGCTGGCAGGTGTTCCCGGTGATCCTCTGAAAGATGTCTTGACACCAGCTACTTTCTTGTAGGCCATGGAGAGATGGCTTATGAAGGCTTGTCTCCACTTAGGTGGCAGAAGGCCTTATCAAGGTGGAGCCTAGCCTCCTGGGTCAGCCAGAACCCCACAGGGCTGCCCCGGTTTCTCTCACTCTCTCTTGTGTGAAAAGATAGTACCTTGCCTCCTGCCCTGGGGCTTCTGTGCTCTGCAATAGCTCTTTCTGTGTTGGTGAGTTCATGCCCTTAGGCTTGAACTTTGATTGCAGGCAGTGGAAGCTGTGGATACATTTTATTACTTTCCCACCCTTGCCCCTCAGATAACAGCTTCAAACAGCCTCTCTAAAAATACCCTGCCATATTATCCAGCTTATTTCAAAGCTGTGACCAGTAGAGTAACTCACCTCCTTAGGTTTCTTCTCCCTCCTTCTCTATCTCACTCTCCTTTTCTTTCATTCCTATTTCCCAGAAACAACATTTCCCTAGAACTTTTCTTTTTTTCTAGAGAAACCAGACAATAGGAAAACAAAGGAGAGTGTTGCTCTCCCATTCACCAACTTTGAAAAGGTGATGGATTTCAGGAACTTTTAAAAAAATATTTCATTTTTTTAAACATTATTAACAAGCAATTCCTATTCATTTTATGCTGCACAGTACAATATTTCAATACATATACACAACATAAACCAATAAAACTATTCAGAAACAGTTTTGACAGATGGGTTTTACAGACCATGGAAGGAGGGTTTAGTACTTGTCTGAGAACCTTGCACAAGTCCTTTAGGTTCTGAGACTATGCTAATGCTCTCTTGTATCAGTTGTGTAAGTTGTCTTGCCCTGTCACCTTGACTGTCATAAAGCTCACATGAGATAATGTGTGGGAAAGAACTTTTGAACCATTCACTGCTATGCACATGTACCACTAGCGAGCATCTACTCTTTCACCTGTCTAGCGCATCTCCTTCAGGTAATGGTCTTTTCCTACCAAGTAATTGCTCCAGAAACACGATAGAGTAAATATCATTCAACATCTGACCACCTTTTATTAATACAGAGACTGGATCAAGAGAGCAATTAAACTCTTTCTTCTGGCATTAGAGGGTTGGATCAAGGTGATCTTCCTTTCTCTGGACATCTGAATTCAAGGCTTTCAAACTCAGAAGCTCTTGGCCTGCTTGTTTCATTGTACAGCTAGAGCCAGAAGCTGGTATGCCACAAGAGAAAAGAATGAAACTGATGTTTAGTGTTAAGGAAGTCCCAGAGAAACATAGTCCTGTTGGCCATTTGAGCTCTAGCTTCCACACGGTGTTGGGGGCTCACTGTCTTGTCATCTTTAGCTTCCATGAAACAGCTTCTATTCATGAAAATTCATGTTTATTGTGTTGTTATTTTTAACCCAAAATATAGTCTCACTATTGAAGATCTTATCCTAAGAGGATATGTCTTCACCACTATGCAGACCTCAGCTCAGGCCCAGGGCCTGAAGTCACAGGAAAAACAAGCACAGCACACTTCCCAGGGAAGTCACTTTGTACCTGCTGAAGAAAGACTCAGAGCTGTTGTCCCAGGAAAACAGAAGACAACCACACAGCAGAGAGCTACGTAGCTCAATGAGAAAGCGAGGATTTGGATGGCA